CTTCAAAGCAGTTGCTATCTTCTGTAATTGCATTGTTCACATTTTGTATCACCTATCTAGTGTATATATATAAGGTAGTTAATTATCTCTGCTGATTCTTTGTGGCTTTATGGAAAGCAGCCTTCTGCAAGGACTCGTACAGTAGAAGGATTATATATCTTTTTTTTTTTTTTTTCCCCCTGAACTTGTCTAGTAGATTAAATGTAACTAGAGTAAATGAAGACTAATTGCTAGACCTTCCTCAAAAGAGAGTTCTGGCTAGTGTCACGGTGGAGTAGATGGGAAAATACTCTATTGCCTTTAGCCCTGGTGTGCATAGGAAAGAATTCCTTTGGGGAAAAAGTAGCAGGTTAGGGCCCAGGAGAGCATAGGAAGTAAGTGAAAAGGAGAAGAGAGAAATAGACATTTATCTCCTGGGCAATAAGAAGCAAAATCCTGCCTTGTGACCTGACTATGGTTGTGTATGGGCAAGAAAGGGCTGTTGGTATGGAAAGGACTTTGTTTCTGTCGTCTCTAGAGGCCAACTTCTCTGGAAGCAGAAAGGCTGGAGAAACAAAGTCTATTTTTGGTTTTGGGGGAGGAGGGTTGCCCCCTTCATGGCATCAGCAAGTAAGTTAAGATCTCAGAAGAAAATTAATATTTATTTATAATAACTTAATTGCTACTGCAGAACATATGAGTCCTAATAGACATGTTCTACTACAGCAGTGTATTCAAGACCCGGGCATCCAAGGGAAGTTACAGGAATATGCGGCAACACCATGAATCATGGCTTGTATCTGAAAAGACCTCAATGAGGGCAGAAGGGAGTTTGAGCTGTTGCAGTAGTGGAAATCCTTTGGACCCAGCAGACCACTCCTATTTAGTAATACCGTATTCTGCATATGTGATATGGAGACTGCTTGTTTTTTCCTGTATGATATATATAACAGTTTTGGATCCATGTTGAGTGTCTGGAAACCCAGGACTCCTACTTTTAAAAATCAAGTTAAATTCAAAACCACCTCTGTTAAATCTTTATTGGATGAGGTAAATCGGAGAAAGAGAAATTTCTGTCTTGCATAGAATCAAGAAACACAAGTTCCACGTGCTCAGCCAGTGACTTTCAGTCTTTGACCTCAGTTTCCTCCTGCCAAGACTGCAAGTAATTGAAAATAGAATAAAATACTACAGCAATCTTGAATCCTAATGTATGTTGCAATAATTAAATATTAAACATTTAAAACTTTGATAGAGAAAAACAAAGGCATCTAGAAATGGTATTCTTTAATTCCAGCCTACCAGATAAGAGATCTGGATAACGGGATTCCTTGGAATGCAAGCAAGAAAGGCTCCTTAGTGGTGTGGACTCCATATGTTTATTGCTCTCTCTGTAGTGCAATGGCAGAGCTGCTTATCACTACAGCTGAGTTTCAAAAGAGTGGACCTTCAGAACCTGCAGCTAGCATTGGATGCAATCTGAATATATTGCATCATCCAGATATGTCAAATGTTCCTGCTCAGCTTGAAGCTAGGAGGCTCAAGGAGACCATCTAGTATTGTGGCTGAAAGCTTTATGAAATTTGGAGGTGCTGTGAACCAGGTGGGTGTATTTAAAGCTGGTAATTTTTCATTGAAGCTTTTCTGTATGGAGTGGAAATAAGCTTTCCCTTGTGATGCTGAGTTTTCATTTACTTTGGCAATAGTTAGGGAATGAATTTTATGGTGCTGGGGTGGAAACTGTGGTAGCAAAGGAAGGTATTCATCCATGGGATACCAACAGGTGATGTGGAGAATATAACTTTGGCCAGATAATACAGGGATGGGTAGTTTCCTTCAAATTCTTTTAGGCTTAATTGTGGTATTTATTTCTGCAAATTTAATATTGCATCCTTCTTTTCCTTAAAGTTTACTTCATTTTATGTATATGTGAGATACTGAGATGAAATTGTGTAGTTTTTTTTTACAGCTGTCAGTGGGTGTCCTTAAGGAGATTGCCACAGCAATTTAATAATAGACATGCAAGAACACATAACCACTGATGAACACTATCCAAAAAGATTCCTTCTGCAGTTCTGTTCTGGCCTTTTTTCTTCACTCTTCCTTCAGTGTGATCCTTTTACTAGAACACCTTTAAAACTTGTGGGAGGTGGTAAAAAGTTTCTTTGTTAGGTGAATCCTCAAATCAAACCACTCTTCAAATTGCTTGTATAGCATGAATTTGCTAGGAAGCCAAGTCGTGACTGTAAGACCTGGGGTACTAAATATAGTGGGAATGCTGAGAAGAAAACTTGGTGCTTTACTTGGGGAGTATACAGGCAGTATACACCATACAGTTGGCATGGTGAATCCTGTGGTCCCAGGAGCTGCTCAACCTTGAATAATTTTAGGTGATAATGATGTAAGTAACTCTATGTATGGGGAGCAATACAGGTTTTATCCATTCATCAGTGATGAGCCTGGGTTGTCAGCTGGTAAGTTTACCCATTTTATTCACTACACCTTTGTCTAAGGAACCGCTTCTTGAATCTATTGGCATTAACGTATTCTACTTCATGCACTTGTACACACAGGGGAGTGCACCATCCTGAGCCACATTATATTTGGATTATTTTTGTCTCATGTATTGTCTCAAGGCTCCTCGTAGCTGTTCCACATGTCTGCCAGACAGGTGCTGCTCCAGTTACAAACTGCTGTAGCTCAGAGTCTAATCATCCCTTTCTATGCATGGAAACTCCTGTCTTTATGCTCACCCCCCAAGAAAAAAGACATGAGGAAAATACGTTAATTAAAGGCCTTCTCATTTTATATTGTTTTAGGAAACATTATATATATAAAAGAGAGAGAACACTTGACTTATTTTTCTTTGCCTACTGCCAACCTGTTCCTGATCATTTATCTAGTTACTTTTTGTTCCATCTTCTTATCTAACACATGAAATCCTTAATAAAATCTTAATTTGCCTTGATTGAAGGTTTTTGCTTATATTACCCAAAATAGCTGTGGCTCCCGACTAAGAGAAGATCTGAATGGAGAGAAAAGATGCAATTCACAGGTAACTACTTAGTACTGCTCCTAATGCTTATTTGATATCCATAGTCCTTGTTCCCCTTTCCCCTCTTAGATCTGCATTTTGTGGGCACTTCTGCAGAGGTGCACATGTATTATTCTAATATTAATCAGGGTTGTCTGCCAGGCTGTACATGTATATTAGATCTTAGATATTCCTGTGGCAACACATCTTGAAGTTATTGAAGGCAGTCAAATACAGAACAGTTTTCTCCTGCAGAAACCTTGTGTGCTGTAATGTGACTGATGACAGGGACTGCTGTAGTTTCTAGATCTACCCCCAAAAAGGCAAGTGTCTGTTACGCTAGTTGCCTTCCCCTGGCTTTCATGGGGAGAAGACAGTCATAAGGATCTCTTGATCCCACTCGTATCCTCACAAGTCTAACTTCCGCTGGCGGATATAGGTAGTGTCCCCTCTGTCATTGCTGGGTTTGAAAGCTTTTGCCATTGATTTGTGGAAAATAAGGGGTCCTTTAGCAGTAGAATCTCTCTTGCTGTCTTGGGAAAGGGGCAGGAGGACACTTGCTAAAAGTAGAGTGGAGCTTTGGCAAGGGTCGGGTATTTAGAATAAAGTGACTTGTAGGACCAGGGCCTGGTACAAGTGGTTTAGGGGCTATGTCAGGACATGAGGGGAAAGCAGCGTGTGAACAGCTAAGGTGCACTTCTGTAGTATTTAGCAGTAAATCTTTATGTTCCTGTCCCATTTGTATTGAGGGTGGCAGAGAACATGACCTTGCCCTTAAACAGTGTTTAAGGGTTACTACAGGCACAAGTGGGATTGGATAGACACAGGTCTGACTCCATATAAGAACTCATCATCAGAAGGTGCTGGTAGTAGGGATTTGAATCCCCTGTAGCTTGTAAAAGGCTCTATCTGTCAAAACAAAAGGAATTTCAGATTAAAAGAAGCTGTCTTTGGACCTGCAAAATTGTAATGAGAGGAGATGGGAAGGCTTAAGGAAAAGCACATAGAAACAAGGTAGAAAGGCACATCTGATGCTGAGAAAAATTACATTAGCATGAAGTAATTATGGGAATGGCTGACTGAGTGGATAGTAATACTACCTTGGTTTGGTTCTGGCTGTGCTTGCAGAGAAGCTGTTGATAGCAAAGGGGGCAGGACTATTTTGGCTGCATGGATTGACAACAGTCAAATCTCTTAACTCAGACGAGGTTTCAGAAGGTTTGTAGACTTGGAGGTATTTTGGAGTCTAAAATGCAAGAATAAAAAACATCGGGCTTTATCCAAGCATATCTACAAGCATGACAGCTTCCCTAGAATAAATGAGGTTAATACTGTGCAATTAATCAATCATTCTGAAAGCAACTACAATCTATAATTGAGAATTAGACCTTGCTGCATGTCTTCAATTTTATTTTTTTGTATTTTAATAAATGTTAACTCAGTTAAATAAAGATATCACCTCAAATGGCTTCTAGTTAATTTGCTTTGTTTGAAAAAGAGTGTAGTTACATTAAAAAAAATAATTAAATCCCTCCTCGTCTGTGTTTATGCATCTGGTGTTTAAAAACAATGCCAAAGTAGTTTATTAATTATGTTGCCCAGAATGTCTAAGATGAGTATATTGCTGGTTCAGAGCAAATGTTATGTTCCAGGTTTTCCTGTGACAAAGGTATAAAAAGTTTCATTTAGTTTTTTTAAATCTCAGTATTTGCTTCCAGAATTGCTGGTTAGTTAATCATTCATATTTCTGTGCTAAATATGAAGATGCTTGGCTTATAAAATGATTCAATCATGTAAGAGCTTTAACTGCAGTGAACGACAAATTCAGAAGCTTGTTATGTCAGAAAGGAGGAGGAGGAACTTCTGTTTAGGTCTTGCCTTCACAGGGAAAGGAAACACTGATAGTATCCGTGTAATCTTGCACTGATGAGCTGGCATCACATTGCTTTGAAAAGATTAATATTTGAAATCTGATGACTAAGTGGTGGTGGGCACAGCTGCTTTACAATCAAGAGATAAAGGAAAGAAGGAAAACAAATCCAGAATTGCTATGTGAAAACCTTGCTGACATGTAATCCTGTCAGAACATTTATAAAGAGCAGAAACCCTATTCAGTGTCAATCAGGTACGTGCTATATTGAATGAAATATTTCTTATTTTAAATGTTGCCAAAGCTCTGCAATTGATAGCTTCTGGATTTATGAACAATAACGTCTGTAAGCGAAATGGGATAGTTAAATTATCGAGAGTTTTTGTTTTAGTTCCAGTGCACATTTCTTCTTAAAGTCTAACAGTTTATGCAGGTAAAATGATCTTTCAACAGGCTTGTTTTAAAAATTCTTTGAGGATTCAGAGAAAATCGTGGAAGTTTGCTATGTTTTAGTACTTTGGCTTAAGAATCTGATTAGAACAGGATTGCTGCACTAAAAGCAGAAGGAGTATTTTTGAACATAACTTAGGGTTTGGGATTTTTTAAGGTTTCTGGGAAACTACACAAATGAATATGCTAATAAAAGGTAAAAGCCACTTCTGAGCATCATAGTATTTTTTAGGACCTGATCCAAAGCAAATTGGAGTTATTGGAAGTTTCCCCATTGACATGACTGGACTGTGAATTAGGCTTTTCAAATTCCAGGTCTCATACTGACAAACGTCTCAGGTTTTGTTCTTACAATTGCTGTGTCTAGCTAAGTACTTTTCCCATATTAAAATCAGTGATATAGGTTCACATTCTTATAATGACAACTTCAGTTTTGACAAGGATCTTGCTAATTAGACAAGAAGATACAAGCCTGTTTCTTACATTTGCTTACAATGCTAAAAGGTATATTTAACAATAAGTAAAGATTGGACAGCGCAGGCATATTCTTCATCAAACCAATCAGGATGCATCTGCCTGAATGCTAGTAGAAACTTTGGGCTAGCAATGACAAGAATGATCTGGTCTTTTTATCTTGGAGGTTTTATAAGTGAGGCTTTAGTAGAGAAAATACATTTCAATCTGGAGAGAGAATGGGATAAACAGCAAATTATGCAATTTAGACCTTGGAATGGCTGATAAATGTGCTATTTCTTTTGGGGAAAGGGTTCAGCCTTGTCATATAGAGAATGCTGCACAATTACCATTTATGTGCAGAGAAAGTTTTGATATGGTTATGGGTTGCATGAGAAACCGCTTTTGAACATAAAGTCATTTAGCATTTGATTCTGATGTGCTGAGTATTACCAGCAATCTGTTTCCTTATCCCTATCCTTGAAATTCCTTGCTCATTTGTCGTCCCCCCAAGAGGGAGAGAAATCTAAGACTGAAGTATGGTGCCTTTAGTGAAGCAACAAATACATTTTGTGTTTCTAATTTAAAGCTTTAGAACTTTTATTTGCTATTTCAGAACTTTATCAAAATTCCTCTTTGCGTTTGTGAACAAAGTTTAAATGTAGAGTCACCTCTCTGTCACTATCCTCCTTTTTGCTTATCTTTCCTAACTTTCCTATATCTTTTTAGATAAAATGTAACTTACATTTTGCAGACACAGTGACTGTAACACAGGGTCAGAGGAAGACAGCTGTCGTGTCTCCATTCTCAGACTGGTAACTCTGTGTGTGTGTGAACAGTTCAGTTTCCTATGCCTTTCGAAGGAGAATTAATAATAAAAATCTTAGACGTGAAGGGATGGACTAAATCTGATGTTTCTTTACAGTTGATCTGTTAAGTGCTGGAAATTATGAGAATCAGTTAACAGAGCTTCAAGTATTGCCGGAGAAAGTGGAATCACAAAAATTATTTTGTATCCTAGTGAATTTGGGTTTTGGTAACCTGATAAACTTAAAATATCACAGGAAGAAAATACCCATAGTTTTCGAGCTGTTCTTAAAATGTTGCAATTGCAGAATTGCCTTCAATAAATCAGCCACTATGAGTGTCTATGATGATATTCTGATGAATGGATTAAAAATGTATTAATTAAAACCCCTATAAAGCCATGTTAGTATATGATCTCTTTAAATACACTTAGTTTTAGTTCTGGTTCTTGAGTATTGACTTAAAGGTACAAGTAGCAAAGAACTTATAGTGAAAAGGGATTGTGATCCAGGGAGCTGAACAGATTTTATATCCACTATGATGTTGTGCTCTTCTTCAGTTATCTGCAACATGCTTTTGCTAGCAGCGAGAAATATTCTCATAGAATAGTTTGCTGGTCCATTCCTCTAGAGACAGGAAATATGAAGCTCAGAGAACAGAAATCCCAGAATAATTTCTCAGATTTCATTTTAATAAGACTAGGAGGACATTCAAGTTTTGTCTTAATTAACATATTAGACAAATATCCACCTGTGTGAATCAAGAACAAAATTCTAACTCAGTTGAGACAGGATTTTACACACAGTAAAAGGCAGATTTTCATGTCCAGGTTAATGATGAGACAAATCTAGAACAGCTTTTTTTTGTTTAAGGGACTAAAACATATACACAAACTTTTGTTACCTGTGGATGATGTTAAACAAATCTGATCTGGGAATTCATGCACCGTTATAACAGTGTTTCATAGCTTGAAATGCGAAAATAAGCAACACCTTGATTTCTATGTTATTTCAGTGAATTAGTGATGATGAGGGAAATGTTATGGCATAATTACTAATTTGTCAGGCAATTGTAAGTCTTTTAAGTCATCAAAAATGGGTATCAAATAACCATGTTGCAAATTTTTTTTTTTAAAGTTAGAATGAAAATGCAGGGGCGAAAATATTTAGCCTTGAATTTTCTGTTAATGTGAAGATGCATAGCAAAATGAATATAAGTGAAATAGTATTTTACATAAATTCCAATAAGGAAACAAATTGCCTTATAACTAAAACCAGCAAAGCAGCTAAAACTGTACTGCATTTCATACTTATTCATACATAGATTTCATTTCTATCCAATTATTGAAAACGTTGTTTATTCAAGTTTTACGACTAAAAAGACAAAAGTTTGCTTTGTGCAGTAAAAGGTAAGGCAACCACGTATTAGGTAAGGCAGCCACATATTTATGAAGTGTGTTGTTCGGATACTGAATAGAGCAAGATGCAAGCTGGACTCTCCTTGCTGTCATAGTCACACAAACGAAGCCAGTCTCTCCGTGTCTCCCAAAGCACAGTTCAACTCCGCAGATTTAGTGGCTGCCTGAGTGGCAGGGATGGAAATGGCATCTTGCATGTGGCGTGTTTTTCTTGGACAGACACAATGGGCTGTCTTGAAAACAATGCTGACAAGTGCTGTTAGTTGAAGAGGCTTTGGGCTCGTTGCTTAATAAGACCGCTGGTGAAACAGACTCATTCATCACGTAAATTAATCCTACAGCATAAATAATTTGCTTAGTAAAGAGGCTGTCTGGAAAAAACACAGTAAATAAGATGGTTTTATTTGGGGGAGGAAGGAGTGGAATAAGGGATAGTGCACGTTGGTCTGACAGGAGAAAGTCTGCTGCTTCTTCTCCACTCTTCAGATCACCTAGATCTGAAAAAAATATTCCCTGAGAACATGTTCGCAAGAAAGATTTTCTTATGCCAAAGACAGCTATGGTTACCAACATTGCTTCTCAGCCTCATAAAGCAAGAGGTCATTTGAGGCGCCTGAGGCATAGTATGCTCAAAGGAATAGCCAATGCATCATGTCTGCTTAGCCAGGGGAAATTAAATCCTGCATTCACTGACATACATGCCAAACAGAAACTCCCACCCCATGTTTTGGAGCTATGGCAGGTCAGATCCTCAGGTGGTATAGCATATGCTGCAGAAATAAATTAGTTCATGTCATTTGGGGATATGTCCTGTTTGTCTACCCACCTATCTAATCTCATTGCCTACAGCTTGCCAAGGGGGTCTAAGTTTTAGGGGCAGTTGTGACCTTACTTTATTGTCCATTGGCCAAAGGGCTCTTAATCTCATCACAGGTTTTTACGTCTGGTGATGGACGGCTGCTGCCAGGGAAAATCTCTCATCTTTGCTTTCCTCAGAAAGCAAGACAGTCAGTCTCTCTCGCTGAGAGAATAGGAAGTTTCAACTTCTGCTCTATTCCCATTGACTGATTTACTTGTTTTTCTTCACATATTGACTTTTTTCCCCCCTCCCTTTTCTCTCTTGAATTTTTGTCTGGCATGAGTGCATTGCTGCTGGCACTGCTCTCTGTGAGCCTGCTGTATATCCTCACAGACTTGCGTGGGGGAACTGCTGTGGGAACAGGGAATAAATCCAGTGGTATTTTCATTACCCAATTTATTTATTTCTAATATGGGAGATGCTGAATTCTTATAAGAGTAAACACAAAGAACTTGACGTGAGTCAAAGAATCTCAGCCCATGTGCCAGCTCGTGTCTACAGCATGCCAATAACTAAGATACAGTTATTCAGTAACCTGCCAAGCTATGTATAAGAGCTACTGGGCAAAATGAGGCTGTTTCTCCATATGTATTTGCCCTTTTTGAAGGCAGATGATTGACCAGTGCTCTGTTTCTCAGCAGAGTCATACAAATTAAAGATGTCCCTCAATACAGGCCTTTGTAAAGACTAGACAGTAATGAGGTAGAGGAAGGCTCCTATATGCTCATTCTTCACTGTCTTTGAGGGAGAAATGGTGGTTGAAGAAATAAAATCCTCCTGGACCCAAGGAACTGGTGTGTTCCCTGCTGTTGTGACACAGAGCCATGTTCTGATCATCAAACCAAGAATTAACTTATCAGAATTAACTTCTTAAGAAATAGCTTAATTAATTAGTGTGTGCTGAGAGACTCAAGTATGCTTCAGAGATGCTGGATACAGATGCACATCCCAGCTCCATGATATCTGAGTCCCAGATATAGAGGGAGATAATCTTTTAATAATAAAGTTCTTATTGGACAAGGGTGATATTCTGTTTACTGGCTTCTGCCACAATACTGCTGTGGATTGAAATGTGATTACAAATTCTTCTAATAGATCCTTGTAATTACTAGTGGAACAGTTTTAATAGATGTTTCTTTTCTAGTGGAACATGGTAAAATTTTCACACTGAAATTCAAATATTCTTTCTGATGGAATATGTATTGAGTGTCCATGCTGTACTTCGAAGTAATGACATGGAGAGTAAAGGAGCTGAAGTCTCTCAGTTTG